CACAGGTCTCGTTCGATGTGACATTTCCGTGCTCTCCCCTCATCCACGGCTCACCTTCCTTTCTACATGGTGAATGGTCTGAACTCGATTCTGTCTGGTCTTTTTCGCGGTATTGTTCGGACGGGCATGCTCCCCGGCTATGCGTTCCTTCCAAGGAACGCCTTCGTCAAATGTGGGCCAATGTCATAAGGTTCGAATTGCCGCTGCGAAAATGATGGCGAGAAGGAAGAAACGCCCTCCTATCGCCAGTACAGAAGAACAGCAAGGACATGCACCTTAGCAATCGGTAGGGGCATGGTATCCAACATTTCCTTCGAACTTGCGTCTTGTTCTTGCTATTTCTATCGCTACATGGGTCACTCGCAAGGTTACACATGGCATGCTTTCTGTAGGTTTTCGAATCGCCATCCGGCGAGTACAAGTACCGCTGGCGTCTGCGTGTGCCGTGCAGATGCTGGCACCCAGTCGCTGAAAGTGCCGTTACGGCAAATAATGAATAGAAATGATGTCATTTCTCACGAAATAATGACTCTAATGTACCATACTCCACAAGTGGCAGCCTGCCTTATCCAGTACAGTTCACTGGACGGGTGAACTTATTTTCCCGAGAAAATCAAACAGGTCCGTTTAAATCCAGCTGGCTCTGATTGGTTGATACTGCCACCAGATATAACACTTTATCTTTCCTAAGAGGAACCAGGCGGAACAAAGTAAGAATACAGAAGAGCATATAGCGTCCACCTTACCCACCAGATATGGACCCGATTCAGCCTGTCATAGACAACAACGGGACTGCCGCCGGGAGGTAGGTCTTCTGGAATGCACGTTGTCTGCTGCTCCATCTATGGGTCACATCTCATCCGCTGGCGGCCGGCCGTACCCGCCGCCTGGTCCGCACCAGGACGGCGTACCGGCGCACTGATGGCAGCACGCCCAGGTCAGCCTGTCCAGGTCAGCCTGTCCAGGTCAGTCTGTCGTAGTCAGCCTGTCCAGATTAACCTGTCCAGGTCAGTCTGTCGTAGTCAGCCTGGCCAGGTCAGCCTATCGTGGTCAGCCTGTCCAGGTCAGCCTGTTCAGGTCAGCCTGTCGTAGTCAGCCTGCCCAGGTCAGCCTGTCCAGGTCAGCCTGTCCAGATCAGGGTGCGGACCGGGTCAGCCGGCCAGCCGCTCTAGCTCGGCCCGACGGCGCCATGGGGGCCCGAGTGACCTGCGCCCCCGGCCCGGTGCGCCCCGGCGTCGCGCCTCACACAACGGCGCGGCGCCGCCGAGGCCGGCCGCGCGCCGAATACAGAATACGGGAGTACGCGTGGCGCACCGCAGCCTTGGCGGTCAGCGTCGTACGCTGAAGGTCGGTCGGTAACTGGGTCGGCCGGCCGCTCGTTCGGCGCCGGGCCGCCCAGCCGCGCCAACGACCTGGAGCGTACCGGCGCCCGACTGGCACCGCCTGAGGTCACGGCTCGGGCTGTCAGCCAGGACGGGGTCGGGACCTCTCGCTGACGGCATGGCCAGGGACGAGACTCGGCAAAGGTCCCGGATGTCCAGGCCCGGAAGCGCTGCAAGCTCGCGCGCAGATGTCCGATTCCGGATCGACCATGTGTGGAGGAGCCCAGTTTCTAACTGGCACGACAGTGTGACGATGTGTTGAGATGGAATGCAGACGATTTGTACAGCTGAGCTTTCTCCCTGGCATCCATTTGAGACGGCAAATGAGAGGCTGCTACGTCAGTTATGTACCGTAGCTCAACATCCGTATTAAGCCGCCCAATGAGAGGTTATTATGAAGCCAGCGAAATTTGCGTAAACATATTGCACGACGATATTAATGATCAGCAAATTCGGTGCAATGTGAATGTCTGTTGTCGGAAGTTCTTGGTAACGCCCTGCTCACTTCGGACTCAAAAGGATTTGCAGGGAAGAGGCGATTGTCCGTCAGACGTTCCAGTCCACACCCTTACGGGCGATACTAAAACACAAAAACACATTCGTCTCGACTTTGAATCGCGGTGCGAAGACTTGCCCACGTGCCGGCCGTCGCCGCCGTTCCCCTGTGCGGTGTCGGTTGAACTTGAGGTCGGGGTCGCACTGCTCGTGTGACTCCATCCCACCCGACCTGAATCACGGGGCCAGTCTGGCCGCCGCCGAGCGGCCGGTTCGATGCCGGTCACGTGGCGCCACTGCCCCCTGACCTTCCTGCCGATGCTCCAGTGACGGTCGGGCCGGCGTGAGTCATCGGACACGGCGCCGCGCTCGGCCTGGTCCCGGCCGCCGGGCGCGCGTGGCGACCCCAGTTTTTGCCGCCGTCTCCGGGGGCTTTTTCATCGGCGACGCTCGCGAGTTATGTTTTGTGTGGAGAAACGCTTTTCGACATGATCGATCGGCGGAGAGATCGTTGTTCCTGGGCATCAAAACACCAACAGGTGCGCGCTGACTGGTGACTGCTTTTGTTGACCAAGGAGAAGTATTTTGCGCAACGCTCCAATGGATAAAGAGGTTCTGCGTGGGTTCGTGCAGCCTTGGAGTAAAAACGCGCAGCGAAACAAACAATGCACGTGTGAAGCTAGCTGCTCTCATTTACATTTATAAACGCGTTTCTCACTGAAATTTAGTTGCAGCCTTACAAGCCGTGGACGGCTGGCTTTAACACA